ATATATATATGTACATTTACAACTTATACAAAGTTTGAAAGCTATGCACTACAAAGCAAGACCCTGTCTCAAAAAAACCCTAAAGCTCAATGGACAAAGTTTTTGTAAAAAAAATTGTTATACACTCACAATTTGTATAATATTTTAAAGCTTTAAAATGATGCCATATAGTGCAATATATCATTTAGAAATACATATACCCACACTATCATTTATGTTTATTTATTTATTTTTATTTTATTTTATTTTTTTTGGTGCCGAGGACAGAACCCAGGGCTTCCAGCTTGCCAGGCAAGTGTTCTACCGCTGCGCCGTCCCCAACCCCCATTTATAAATACATATAATTGCAGTGAAACTATGAAAATAAACTAGGCACAGATAATTCAAATTTATAATCACCATATTTCTGGAATGGGATAGAAGAAAAGGAAGGAATTTAGGGAGGATAACAAAGGCTATGTCAACTGTATCTCTAATGTTTCTTTTATGAAGCAAAATTAAAAGAAACTAAAAGAAAAAACTAGCAAATTTTCTAAAGCAAATGTGACAAATATTACCATTTACTAATTCTAGATGAATACATAGCTGTTTGTTATACACTATTACTTTCTGTATATTTTGTTTTGTTTTGCTTTTTGAGACAGGGTCTTGTGTATCCCCAGCTGGCCTTAAACTCAGTAATCCTCCTGCCTCAGCTTCCCAAGTGCTGAAATTCTAGGCATGTGCCATCACATCTGGCTTTTTCTTTTTTTTAGGGGATGGTACTGGAAATCAAACTCACGATCCCATGCTTGCCAGGCAGTTCCATATTTTTAAAATTAAAAAAGCTACACAGCCAAGAAACTATCCTGTCCTTTAATTCTTCCTCCTCCTAAATCTTTTCATCATCTCCGCAGTGAGCCCAGCACAGTCAAGTAGAGAGAGACTTCTAGCATTTCTTTAAATTTTTTGAGCCATGTATCAAATTTTAAAGCCTTCTTCCATCAGATTCCTTCAAAAAAAAGCGTAAATAGGTAGTGCAAAGATGGTAATATTTATCTAAATACCTTCCAAGTTACTAATGTGCAGGAAAAGTGAAGGGACAACTTAACATTTTAACATTACAAGCTTTAAATTATTTAAGAAAACCCTGGAAAGAGGAATTAAGAATTACATTTGATACAATGGATCTTGAATGCTATACTTATGTTTTAAGTTCACATAAGCAGGGGTTCTTTCTTCTATTTCTTTTCACATTCCTGTTGCCTATTGTTTCCAACCCTCCCACCCCCTTTCACCCTTCTACCATCACGGCACATAGAATGCTTCACTCGCTGCATATGTTAAGCACTCTTGAAATATGAGTCCATGAAAATGTCACAACAGATCTGTTATGACATCAGCAGGACTAGAACACCATGGCTAGCGAGCAGCTGGTAAGAGAGTAAGACACAACCTCTGGAAGCAGCCTTCTAGCTTCCTAATGGACACTCTTGTTAGCATTTGCCTATATTCTGCAAAAAAGAAGTAAAAGAAAATCACTCAAAATGTTTTCCAAGAAGCGAAACGATATAGGCAATGACTCTGAATCAGAAAAAGAGGTTGAGAATTCCCGAAGCACAAAAGGATGGTCCAGAACTGCTCTCGATCTTCCAGTGGTCCCCAGGCTTGAAATCCCGTTCTCTGTGCAGGCAGTCATCTCTCGGATTGAGCAAGCACAGCTTCTTCGAGCCAGAGAGGTAAGTCATGAACCAGAAGTTTACAGATTGCAAGATTTTGTTTTGTTTTGCTTTGTTTTTTGAGACAAGTTCTCACTGGCCTTGAACTCACTACATAGCCCACGCTGGCCTTGATTGAACTCACAGTGATTCTCGTGGGTGTGTGCCACCATGCCTGGCCCAAGTTTTTTTTTCTCTTTTTTTTTTAAGAATTCATGTTATGTTCATGTTATTTAACTGTATTGAAATAGCTTTGAATTCAAATGGTAATTTGACCTAATTGCAAATACTGAACTCCTATTTGATTTTTTTTTTTTATTCTCCCCCACCCTCCTATTTGACATTAATCTCTTTTTTCTCCCTGTATTTTAGGAAAGGGTCTACAGGGTGTTCAGGGTCTCACTACTAGATCAGACTCTATAGTGGTTCTCCTGTTTACAGCCTCCCAAGTGCTGGGATTACAGGTGTGTGGCACCACGCCCAATCTCAACTGCTGTCTCAACACGCCCTGGGGGGCGAGGCCAGCACTGCAGGCCAAGGGATCAAAACCTTGGCCCCTGTGTCTGCTTGCAGGCGCTTTAATCCACTCAGCTATTTGGCCAGCCCTGATATTAATCTCTTCATATCAGAATTGATCAAACCATTTAAGAAGTAAATCAGCTAGACATGGTGGTTTTCTGCCTATAATCCCTCACTCTGAAAACTGAGACAGAAGGATTTTAAATTCAAGGCCACTAGAGCTGCATAGGGAGCTCAAGAATGCCTTAAACTATATAATGAAACCTTGACCTAAAATAACAAAATACAAAAAAAGATAGAAAAAGAAAAAAAATGTTGGTACAGTTTTGGTATTATTCCAGCCATGATAACTGTGTTTGCTTTTAATAGCTTTATTAAGACACCTGACATGCAATAAATACATTTAAAGTGTTTTAAGTGTGTATTCAAGTTTTTTTAATGCAAACACTGATGAATCTTTCACTACAGTCAATATCATGAATTTACCCATCATCCCCCCAAATTTCTGTCTCAAAAAATAAAAGGGGCTGGAGATAGAGTTTAGTACAAAGATCTCAGGTTTAATCCCCAGAACTGCCAAAAATAACAACAACAAAAGAGAATTTTATAAAAGTGGAAACATATTACTTCTTTCTGGCTTTTTTTTTTTTTTTGAGACAAAGTCTTACTGTGTAGTCCAGACTGGACTTCGATTCACTATGTAGCCCAGGCTGGCCTCTAATTTGTGGCGATCTTCCTGCCTCAGCCTTCCAAGTGCTAGGATTATAAGCGTGCACCACTACACCTGGCTCCTTCTGGCTTTTTTCACTTCACATTATTATGAAATTTACCCACATTCTTAAAGGTATGATTAATTAATTCTTTTTTATTGCTGTGTATTTTTCCATGACATGGCTTTTGAGCTATTTCTAGCTTGGAGTTATTACAAATAAAGCTGCTCTGGACATTGTGTACCAGTCACTACATGGACATATGCTTTCATTTCTCTTAGGTAAATATCTCGGTTTGGACTAAGTTATGTGGTAGGTAAATTTTCTCTCTCTTTCTTTCTTTCTTTCTTTCTTTCTTTCTTTCTTTCTTTCTTTCTTTCTTTCTTTCTTTCTTTCTTTTCTGGTACTGAGGCTTGGACACAGGACCCTGAACATTGTATTCTATCACTGAGCTACATCCCCAGCATTTTTTAATTTCCTGTTGCGGTACGGAGGATTGAACCCAGGGCTTTCACACTGACCTATGTCCCCAGCCTTTTTTAGTTTTTATTTTGAGACAGGATCTTGCTGAATTCCTAAATTGCCAAAGCAGGGCTGGAATTTGTAATCTTCCTGCCCCACCTCCAAGAGTGCTGGGATTATAAGTATGTGCCACCACGTCCAGCTCTTCTTACTTTTGAAATAGGACCTTGCTATGTAGTTCAGGTTAGGCTCAAACTTTCAATCCAACTCTCTCGGCCTCCTGAGTAGCCTGAATTACAGGCATGTGCCATGAGGCATGGCTACTATTTTAGGGGGTTTCGTTGGCTTTAAAAAATGGGAATCAAACTAAAGTGTGCTCTACCACTGAGCTACATCAAAACTTCAAAACTCCCTCCCTCCCCACCTCATGCCTCTCTTTTTTCTTTCTTTTTGTTTTTCTTTTTTGTGAAACCGGCTCTCACAATATAGTTTGGGTTGGACTTGAACTCACTGTGTACCCCAGCCTGGCCTTTCCTGCCTCAGTCTCCAAAGTATTGAGACTGCAGACCTGTACCACCATGACCAGCCAAAATCCTTTTTTATTTTGAGACAGAATCTTGCTAAATTTCCCAGGCAAGACTTGAACTTGGAATCCTCTTATTTCACTATCTGGAGTAGTTGAGACTACAGGCATTGTGCCACCGAGCCTAGCTTGTTTTAGGGCATATATATTTTTATATTTATAAAATATTATACATTTTATAATATATATCATGTACAGTATATGAATCTTACAGCAATTTTCTACCTTTTTTTTCCTCCCTTTGTGGTGTCTGCATATTTCTTCATGTCATAAACTCAATATTTAGCCAGGTGTGTTGGTGTATGCCTATAAACTAGCCCTCCAGAGGCTAAGGCCAGAGGATCACTACATGTTTGAGGCCCAGCCTGGGTTACAAAGTGAGTTTAAGGCCAGCCTCAACTACACAGGGAAGCTCTGTCTCAAAAAGACAAAAGACAAAAAACAAAAAAAAACCCCAAAATTCTAAAAAAACCCTCTTAATATTTATTGCTTTCCAATTGTTTTTGCTTTAAAAAGGCAATGATTGAGTTTTAAATGTTATTGTAATACAATATATATTTAAAATTGACCACTTTAACTTTTTAATCATCCAGTTCAGTGGTATTAGGTACATTTACAAGGTTGTGTATGCACAGACACTTTGGCGCGTTTCTCCACTTGCTTAGGGCTATTTTCAGAACTTATCATCCCAAATGTTATATTCATTAGACAGCGACTCTCTTAGCCTCTAGTAACCTTTGTTCTACAGTCTCTGTGAATTTGACTATTCCAGATACCTCATTTAAATAGAATCACATAACATTTGGTTTTTGAGTTGAGGATGTAGCTCAGAGGCATAAAACTTGCTTGGTTTTATCTGAGTCCCTGGGTTCAATTTCCAGCATAGCATTTTAAAAATGTTGTTTTGTGTCTAGATTATTTTATTCAGGATAATCTCATGAATGTTTATCTAGGTTGTAGCATTATCAAAATTTCATTCTTTTGTAGTTATCCTAACTTTTAAATGTTTTAAATTGGGGCCAGCAAGATAGCTCAGTGGTCTAAAGTGCCTGGTTAGGCAAGCTTAGCCAAGCTGGCCAGTAAATAAATAAATAAATAAATAAATGTATGTTTTAAACTAATTATAACAAGTTTGACTTATAAATGAGTTTCATTCTGGAAGAATGTTCCTAAGTCAGAGTCGTTGGTAAGTCTGAAATGCACAAGTGAGCCTGGACACAAGTAGACAGTGTACACTGCTCGGTGCTTCCCAGCAGGCCCTTCCACATCACCACTGCTTTTCCTTTTGCTTCTGGACATCCACGGCTCAGAGTAAGACCTCTACTACTCTAGACTGTCGCACTGTACATAAGCTCACAGCCGCACAACTGTGATGACATCTCACAGACTTCTGAGCTACTCCTGAGATGTGTCTGCACCTATGAATATTCATAATGCAAGCTCACAACTCAAATGTTTATAAATTGAAGACTTACTGTAACTAATTATTTTTGAGACCAGGTCTCTATGTTGTCCACGCTGGCCTCCCCTGAGCTTTTGGCTCAAATGATTCTCCTACCTCAGCCTTTCAAAAAAAGCTCTGGTGCTTTTTTTTTTCTTTAACTGTGGTAAAGCATATGTAACATAAAATTTGCCATTTTAACCATTTAAAAATGTACATTTATCTGGGATTAAGTGGTGTAATTATCATGGTTATCCAATTCTAGAACTTTTTAATATTTTATGAAAATTCTCACCCATTAAACAGCAACATTCAGGGAGCTGCGGAGATAGCTCCTTGGTCTAAGCACATTCCTGGCGAGCACAAGGACCTAGATTCAATCCCTGGTACCACATGCCATCCCAGCCCCGCCCTGGGCACACCCTGCCTGTAATCCCAGTGCTAGAGAGGCTGAGACAGGAGGATCACTGAGTCTGAGCTGTGTAGCAAGACCCTGTACCAAACCAATAGATAAATAAATGATTAAAAAAAAAAAAACTGTAACATTCAGCCAGGCATGGTGGTGCACACCTGTAATACCAGCACTTAGCAAGCTGAAGCAGGAGGATCACAAGTTTGAGCCCATCCTGGGCTACAAAGGAGACCTTATCTCAAACAAACCAATGCAAAACAAAACAAAAAACAGGAATTCCCCATTTACTTCTTCTCATTCTTGACAATTAGGGTTTAATTTTTATCTCTAAAAAGTTTTTTTTATAATGATAAACCTGTCCTTTTGTGATTGTTTTATGTTACTTAGAATGTTTTCAGAGTTCACCTGGTTACACGATGTCAGAATTTCTGCTCTTTTTTTTTTTGGAAAATTTCTGCTCTTTCAGTGACTGTCAAGATGGCTCAGCTGATTAAGTGTCTGCTTAGGCAAGTGCAAGGACAAGGGTTCCTTCCCTGGCACTGTATGCTGTTCTGGCCCTGCACCTGGACTAACTGAGCCAGCAACCGAGTCCAGGCATGGTGTTGCATGCCTGTAATCCCAGCACTGGGGAGGCTGAAAACAAGAGGATCACTAAGTCCGAGCTGCGTAGTGAGACCCTGTATAAAATGCATTTTTAAAAAAAGAGGGCCTGGGGCTTTGGCTCAGGGGTAGAATGCTTGCCTAGCAAGTATTCAGTCCTTGGCACCAAAAACAAAAAATAAACCTCCCCTAAATATATATATATACATATATATATATATATATTTCTGCTCATTTAGGATGAAAGACTGGGTTCATTGGGCCCATCCCTTATATTTCTATTATAAATTTTTA